GGGGGGGGAGTGAGTTAGCCCATCCGTGACTGTATTACTGTACATTACCTTAAATTTGTTTATGCACTTCACATAAAAAGACAAACCATTAGTGACCGGTTTAACTACTTTTACTGGGTACTTCTGGCACTATAATCACCGCGTGCCGCTATGTGGACAGGGTATTCCTTACTCTTGAGATATAAAGAATGTGCATTGGTAACTTGGGCAGGAGATTCCTTACTCCCAGGGTATAGACTGTGCATTGGTAACTTGGGCAGGGGATTCCTTACTCCCAGGGTATAGACTGTGCATTGGTAACTTGGGCAGGGGATTCCTTACTCCCAGGGTATAGACTGTGCATTGGTAACTTGGGCAGGAGATTCCTTACTCCCTGGGTATAGACTGCGTATTGGTAACTTGGGCAAGGGATTCCTTACTCCCAGGGTATAGACTGTGCATTGGTAACTTGGGCAAGGGATTCCTTACTCCCAGGGTATAGACTGTGCATTGGTAACTTGGGCAGGATTCCTTACTCCTAGGTATAGACTAGTATTGGTAACTTGGGATTCCTTACTCCCTGGGTATAGACTGTGTATTGGTAACTTGGGCAAGGGATTCCTTACTCCCAGGGTATAGACTGCGCATTGGTAACTTGGGCAAGGGATTCCTTACTCCCTGGGTATAGACTGCGCATTGGTAACTTGGGCAGGGGATTCCTTACTCCCTGGGTATAGACTGCGTATTGGTAACTTGGGCAGGGGATTCCTTACTCCCTGGGTATAGACTGCGCATTGGTAACTTGGGCAGGGGATTCCTTACTCCCAGGGTATAGCCTGTGCATTGGTAACTTGGGCAGGGGATTCCTTACTCCCAAGGTATAGACTGTGCATTGGTAACTTGGGCAGGGGATTCCTTACTCCCAGGGTATAGACTGTGCATTGGTAACTTGGGCAGGAGATTCCTTACTCCCAGGGTATAGACTGTGCATTGGTAACTTGGGCAAGGGATTCCTTACTCCCAGGGTATAGACTGTGCATTGGTAACTTGGGCAGGAGATTCCTTACTCCCTGGGTATAGACTGTGCATTGGTAACTTGGGCAGGAGATTCCTTACTCCCAGGGTATAGACTGTGCATTGGTAACTTGGGCAGGGGATTCCTTACTCCCAGGGTATAGACTGTGCATTGGCGGGCAGGGGGTTTGCCTCCCAGGGTATAGACTGTGCATTGGTAACTTGGGCAGGGGATTCCTTACTCCCTGGGTATAGACTGCGTATTGGTAACTTGGGCAAGGGATTCCTTACTCCCAGGGTATAGACTGCGCATTGGTAACTTGGGCAAGGGGATTCCTTACTCCCAGTGTATAGACTGCGTATTGGTAACTTGGGCAAGGGATTCCTTACTCCCAGGGTATAGACTGTGCATTGGTAACTTGGGCAAGGGATTCCTTACTCCCAGGGTATAGACTGTGCATTGGTAACTTGGGCAGGGGATTCCTTACTCCCAGGGTATAGACTGCGCATTGGTAACTTGGGCAGGGGATTCCTTACTCCCAGGGTATAGACTGTGCATTGGTAACTTGGGCAGGAGATTCCTTACTGCCAGGGTATAGCTGTGCATTGGTAACTTGGGCAGGGGATTCCTTACTCCCAGGGTATAGACTGTGCATTGGTAACTTGGGTAACTTGGGCAGGGGATTCCTTACTCCCAGGTATAGACTGTGCATTGGTAACTTGGGCAGGGGATTCCTTACTCCCAGGGTATAGACTGTGCATTGGTAACTTGGGCAGGAGATTCCTTACTCCCAGGGTATAGACTGTGCATTGGTAACTTGGGCAGGGGATTCCTTACTCCCAGGGTATAGACTGCGTATTGGTAACTTGGGCAGGGGATTCCTTACTCCCAGGGTATAGACTGTGCATTGGTAACTTGGGCAGGGGATTCCTTACTCCCTGGGTATAGACTGTGCATTGGTAACTTGGGCAGGGATTCCTTACTCCCAGGTATAGCCTGTGCATTGGTAACTTGGGCAGGAATTCCTTACTCCCAGGGTATAGACTGTGCATTGGTAACTTGGGCAGGGGATTCCTTACTCCCAGGGTATAGCCTGTGCATTGGTACTTGGGCAGGGGATTCCTTACTCCCAAGGTATAGACTGTGCATTGGTAACTTGGGCAGGGGATTCCTTACTCCCAGGGTATAGACTGTGCATTGGTAACTTGGGCAGGGGATTCCTTACTCCCAGGGTATAGACTGTGCATTGGTAACTTGGGCAGGGGATTCCTTACTCCCAGGGTATAGACTGTGCATTGGTAACTTGGGCAGGGGATTCCTTACTCCCAGGGTATAGACTGTGCATTGGTAACTTGGGCAGGAGATTCCTTACTCCCAGGCTATAGACTGTGCATTGATAACTTGGGCAGGAGATTCCTTACTCCCAGGGTATAGACTGTGCATTGGTAACTTGGGCAGGGGATTCCTTACTCCCAAGGTATAGACTGCGTATTGGTAACTTGGGCAGAGGATTCCTTACTCCCAGGGTATAGACTGCGCATTGGTAACTTGGGCAGGGGATTCCTTACTCCCAGGGTATAGACTGCGCATTGGTAACTTGGGCAGGAGATTCCTTACTCCCAGGGTATAGACTGTGCATTGGTAACTTGGGCAGGAGATTCCTTACTCCCAGGGTATAGCCTGTGTATTGGTAACTTGGGCAGGGGATTCCTTACTCCCAGGGTAAAGACTGCGTATTGGTAACTTGGGCAGGGGATTCCTTACTCCCTGGGTACGGACTGTGCATTGGTAACCTGGGCAAGGGATTCCTTACTCCCAGGGTATAGCCTGTGCATTGGTAACTTGGGCAGAGAATTCCTTATTCCCAGGGTATAGACTGTGTATTGATAACTTGGGAAAAGGATTTTGTGCCCCTGGATTGTAAACTGTGCACTGGTTATGTGAAAGAAATTTCCCCTCACTACAGAACTGATTATATACACAGTACTATACACTATTTCTTTCCACATGCTGTGTATCTGAGCCTGCCATTCTGCATCAGGGGTTGGGGGGGAAATTAAAAATAAACCTGCTCGTGTTGATATTTAAATCCCCTTTGCTCCACTTGGCTTGTTCTGCAGTCTGCATTACAGTCTCATTATTAGATTGCAAGCTCAGTATTACAGTATCCTGTGTAGGTTGTTTTTTCCCCCCACTCTGTAATGACCTCAATGTGTTGACACAGGGTTTTCCTTGAAAGCCGTGTTTGACCCTCAGTTTTGTTTTTCATGTTGAGGGTAAACGGTGTTCATGCTCAGTGTTCGTTTTTGCTGTCTGGGTCGGATTCGCAGTAGATGAAGGCTGCTCAGATGCGTGGAAACTCAGAAATCTATTGTTTGTCTTTACAAAATCTACATTTTACTGTTGTCATTAACCGCTCTGCCTCTAGATAAGCAGTAAGAGTGGTTTTGGGGTTCTATGTATTTTTTTTTTTTTTCCCTTCTACTTTGAACGGAGCTTAGAGTTAACTGTTCCATAAAATAAGAGTTTAGGAAGATCTCTCTGCTTGTCCCTTGAAACCAGAGTAAATAGATCTGGATCTCTGTTTTCCCCTATAGTATGTCTGGTTTATAGCAAGGATCCTGGTTAACCTGTCATTTGGCTTTCCATTGTGGTGATACAAAGTCTCTCTACATTTTCTATGTGAAGAATGGAAGTAAAAAGCAGTACTATTTATTTATTTTCTTATACGTTGCACAAGCAAATAAAAACAAAATTAACGGTTTGCTATCTAGTCACAATGAAACCCAAACAGTAATCTGTTGTCTTACATTTGGTGTTAGTGACCTGCATTCCTATTGTTTTCTGAAATTAGATGTTTGTCTGTGTGAGCAATACACTGAGATAAAATTCTGGTTCTTGCTTTCAAATCTCTACATAATGCTGCTCCCACCTATCTATCCTCCCTAATGCACAAGTATGTCCCGTCCAGGCCCTTATGATCTGCTGAAGACTTGCGTCTATCTTCTGTCCGTACTCCCACCTCTGATGCTCGCCTTCAAGATTTCTCGAGGGCTGCAACGTTCCTGTGGAACTCGCTTCCCTCCTCCATTAGATGCTCACCCAGTCTCCACTCCTTCAAAAAAATCATTAAAAACCCACTTCTTCATAAAAGAGTATCAATGAAACTAATAGCTCCTGATTCCTCTATTGCAACTGTCACTAGTCTAATACACTATCCTTAACCTTGTGTCACTTTACCCCCACTCCCTCTAGCATGTACGCTCATTGAGAAGGGCCCTCAACCCTCTGTACCTGTGTGTCCAACTTGTCTGGTTACAACTACATGTCTGTTCGCTGCGGAATTTGATGGCGCTATATAAATAACATAATAATAATAATAATATATTGCTGTATAATGAGGCATTGGCATTGCTTTTTGTATTTAGTAACTATCTTGATTTCTTAAAAGCATGAATGAAGCTCCCTGCAGCTAGCTTATATTACAAATAACTTAAAGAACACTTTGGTCCCTAATACAAGTTTAATGCATTTTAGTTGGTTTTGACCCTATTAATATACTGTTGCTGCTCCAGTGGCCCCCTGATGCTCAAAAGATTTCCTTATCAGTGTATGCCCACAGCTTAGCCCTTAGTCACACTGACAGTCTGCAGCCAGATTGTGAATCAAAAGCAGTTCAGTCTATAGTTTATCTGACTAACAGGTAGT